TTAGTCTTTTTATTTATTTATTTCAGTTAATATGGTTACAATTGTGTTAACATTTATGTTATTGAGGAACAAAATTACTGCAAAAGTGCTTATGACCCTCCACTAACTGTCCTCATGTCACTTCTAGTTCCCTTCTTCTTTCCTCCGAAACTCTGACTACCTGATCATCTAGTTAGGTGTTTTGTTTTTGTTTTGTTTTTAAGTTTTGTATTTGTTTTTTTTTTAAGTTTTATTTTGGGCCTTGCGGTTTACAACACTGCTGATGATAGGGGTTCATGCATAACACATTTCCACACCACACCCTCCACTAGAGTGCCTACTTCTCTCCACCACCACCATTGTCCCAGTCCCTTCCAACCCAATTTCCCTCCCTTCCCTCTCCATGGCAAGTGTCAAATTAATGACCAGGTTTCAATTTCTGTTGCCTTGGGGTATTTGTTGTATCCTTACTTTGTTCCCTTATATTCGATTTAGAGAGAGATCATTCTCATTCAGTATCTGTCTCTCTTCTGGATAACTTCACTCAACATAATTATCACCACATCCATTCACATAGCAGCAAATTGCATGATTTGCATAATCCAAAGACTAGGTTCGTCATCATTTGATGCTATCTAGTTCCTTGTTTAATTTCTTTGATCTAAGCAGGTATTTGTCCCTCACCATCTCACTCACTAGAAACATTGATTTGTTATCAAAATATTAGCATATTGTTTTTTTAATTGTCATTCCATAATATAAACTGTAGTTGAGAGAATGTGGACTTTGAATCAAATCACCTGAAGTGTGGCTATAGACTTCCATAAAGCAAGGCTATGGTGCATGCAGTTAACTATTCTGATTGTCAGTTTCCTCATGTAATATTTAAATCATATTCAAAAGAATCAGGGGAGACTGTCTTGATTCTGACTTGGCCACTATCCATCTGCGACTGAGAGAACAAGCCATGTGCCTTCTCTATACCTTTCTCTGTAAGCATTGGAATAGAGAGGCAAAGAGCAAGAAACATGTTCAAGGGAGAGCATAGACTTGAAGAGCAAGCCTTCTTTTTCAGTGACTTTAACATTTTTCTTTCTACCTCCGAGGTAAGAATGGATGATAACTATAGAAAGGGCCTTGTCTTGATAGTGTCTAATTCTGAACAAAGCCCGACTTTTATGAACCCTCCTCTAAAGCGTTAATGCTAACCCCATACTTACAATTTTTGGCTTACGACTAAGGTATCCTACTGCTCTGTATCCTGAGTAGTTGAACTTGTAACAAACCAATAAACCTAAGAGTGTAACTAGGCTTATGAGTTACTGCTCTTTGACTCAAGGCGTCTATAACACATTTCTAAGAGATTTATTATAGGACTTAAATGAAATGAAATATTGAAAGTATCTACTTAAATGAAATAAAATATTGAAAGTATCTACTTAAATGAAATAAAATATTGAAAGTATCTGATATAAAGTAGATTCATGTAATTCCCTTTCCTTTTCCATCATATGATCCAAGAAAAAAATCACTGCACTGTAGCACTGTCCTCCCGTTGTTCATCGATTTGCTTGAGTGGGCCCAGTAATGTCTCCATTGTGAGACTTGTTGTTACTGTTTTTGGCATATCGAATACACCATGGGTAGTTTGCCAGGCTCGGCTGTGCAGGTGGGATACTCTAGGTAGCTTGCCAGGCTCTCCGAGAGGGGCGAAGGAATTGAACCTGGGTTGCCCAGGTCGGCCACGTGCAAGGCAAATGCCCTACCTGCTGTGCTATCGCTCCAGCCCAAGAAAAAATCAGGAAACTTAAAAATAAAAAGACCCTATTATTATTATTATTATTTTTATTATTATTATTTCTCTCTCTTTCTCTCTCCACACACACACCTGAGTGGGCGTGCACACTCACACACACACACACACACACACACACACACACACAAAACCATTTACAAGTGGGGATATATTACCCTTCTTTGTTTGTTTGTTTTTGGACCATACCCAGGGGTGCTCAGGGTTCATTTCTGGCTCTGCTTTCAAGGCTCACTCCTGATAGGCTTGGGGGGACTATATAGGTATCAAACCTGGGTCTTCTATGTGCAAGACAAGTTCCTTTCCCACTGTATTATAGCTTTGGCCCTAGGATAGGTTATTCTTTTATAGAGCTATCTGAAGTATTAATTGGAGAACCAGTCTAGTGACATTGACTTCCTGTAACTGTTGTTTGCCTGTTGGTAGTTACAATATAATACATATATATGCATATATGTATATATATATAAATTTCAAAGATAATGTTGTTCACCAGAGTCTTAGATAATGGTATCAACCAGCCTACTTTAATAAAAATCATGAAAAATCATCATAATAAAAGAACAATATGCAAAAATATTATAAGGGGATTTGACTTAAACTGTTTTACATCAAAAGAAAAGAAAATGTGTATTCTGAGGTTTTTACATCAGGTCTACTGAATCAGAAAATCTAAGATTGAAGCCCTGAAATCAAAATTATTTTTCTGATAATTGATCAAAATCAAAATTATTTTTCTTATAATTGATCCTTATCAGTGGTCCAAACCACTGGTGAATCCTCAGTAGTGAGGTTCAGGGATGGATCCAAGTGGTATAAAGGGAACAAATGTTGCCAGGGATTGAACCTGGCCCTTCAGCATGAAAAGTATGTTTGCTAGTTCTTTGAGATTCCTCTTGATACAATATTTACTTACTTATTTTTTCAGTCCTAATTTTTAACAAATTTGCTAAGTGATTCTATTTTCATGCTAAATTTTGAGAACCACTTTTCAAAATTAGTGATTCTCACCTGAAGAGATTTTGCCTCTGCTGGAAATTTATCAATACCAGGGAGACATTTTTAGTTGTCATAACAGGGATGCAGGATACTATTTATATATATAGCAGTAAAGGTCAGGATCTGGCTAAATATTCTAAAACATAGAATATTTCTCTGACAAAGACCTGATTTATTAGAAATGTTGATTGTTCCAATGTCAAGAAAGTCTGCTCTATATTGAACCTCCACTCTATTGACTGTCCAAGAGCTAAATATTGGTCATTTATGTGTACACGTATGAAGAAGAGGCACATTATCCCAATGCCTAATTCTAGACTTGATGAATAAGAAGGGGAGGAGCAGAGTCTTTTGTTTTTTTTTCCTTTTTGGGTCACACCCAGAAATGCACAGGGGTTACTCCTGGCTCATGCAGGAATTACTCCTGGAGGCACTCAGAGGACCATATGGGATGTTGGGAATCGAATCCAGGTCAGCCGCAAGGCAAACGTTTGCAAGGCAAACGTTTGCAAGGCAAACGTCCTACCCACTGTGCTATCACTCCAGCTCTGGAACAGAGTCTTAATCCACCTGTATCCCAATGGTCTCCTTCATTGATACTTAATTCTTTTATTTAATGCTGGTTCTTTTGACACAGGGAATTTTCCCTGTTAACCCCTCCCCACCAGCAAGAGTATTCCTAAATAGCAACAAGAAAACCCTCCAACGAGGTGATTATTTGAACTTTATAGATTTAGGACTCCTGAAGAATTTGTCAAAGTTATATGTGCCAATGAGAGTAAGGGTGTATCACACTCCCATTCAACTTGACACTCTCTCCATTCATTCTTGTTTTTCTGGGTCTACTTTCTTCTGTGTGAAACTAAGTCCAAGTCCTCTGAATCACAGAGAACTTGCTTCAACATGTACAATCAGAAACAAAATCTCTTCCTTGTTTGTGAGATTTCAGAAGTTCAATTAAAAATATAAATACTGATAATTTTCCCTAGTATTGGAATGAAATAACCAACTGACATGAATTAGTTTTTCTTTAACACTCTCCTTGCTATATCACTAATTTTATACTTAATCTCAGATTTATTTGTGAGTTACTTATGTGCTGTATTAGGCGGTTATCAGAGAGAAAGATCCACTCCACATAGGCCCTCCCGTTGATCATCGATTTGCTCGAGCGGGCCCAGTAACGTCTCCATTGGAGACTTTGTTGTTACTGTGTCTGGCATATCGAATACTCTCGGTAGCTTGCCGGGCTCTCCGAGAGGGGCGGAGGAATCGAACTCGGGTCGGCCATGTTGGCCGCTTGTAAGGCGAACACCCTACCGCTGTGCTATCACTCCAGCCTCTGTCAATTAATCAAAAACCCTATTGCTTCTGAATTGCACTGTCCTCCCATTGTTCATCGATTTGCTCGAATGGGCCCAGTAACATCTCCATTGTGACACTTGTTACTATGTTTGGCACATGGAATACATCACGGGGAGCTTGCCAGACTTTGCTGTGTGAGCGAGATACTCTTGGTAGCTTGCCGGACTCTCCGAGAGGGGCGGGGGAATCAAACCTGGGTTGGCCGGGTTGACCACGTGCAAGGCAAACGCCCTACTGCTGTGCTATTGCTCCAGCCCCTATTGCTTATAACTACTAAAAAGTTGATAGATAAAGAGAGGGATAAATCACCATGCCAGTAAATATTTCCTTTTCTGGAAAGTTTGGCAAAGCTCCTTTGACCCCTATACTAGGGGTTTTCTAAAGACTTTTGGGACAACAGGTTGCTAGTGAAGAGTATCTCAGAGATTCTGGAAGTGAGGGGGCCCTCCCGTTGATCGTCGATTTGCTCGAACGGGCCCAGTAACGTCTCCATTGGAGACTTTGTTGTTACTGTGTCTGGCATATCGAATACTCTCGGTAGCTTGCCGGGCTCTCCGAGAGGGGCGGAGGAATCGAACTCGGGTCGGCCATGTTGGCCGCTTGTAAGGCGAACGCCCTACCCGCTGTGCTATCGCTCCAGCTCAAAAAGATTGCCTTCCCGTAGTCGGCAGGATTTGAACCTGCGCGGGGAGACCCCAATGGATTTCCAGTCCATCGCCGGAAGTGAGGGGGAGATAAACTATATAGGGCCACTGATAAATGAAGCTTCTTCTTACTAAAATGTTTCCAGGAGGCCAACAACAATATGAATAGCAGGGTCCAGTGTGTGTGCTCACCATTCATACTCTTTCCCCAGAGTGAGATAGCACCAACTCCTTGACTGATGACTAAAATTTATTCTTTTTCTTCATCCACCCATTTACTCTTCCATTCACAGACCCTGAGTTATTCAACGAAAATAGTGGTGGCTATTCAGTACTGCTTCACAGTGGCACACAGTGCCACTGGTTCCAGCTGCAGGGCATTAAGACATAATGCATTCTATTACACATTTTCTGCATGATTTTGTTTTTCTTATCTGTATGACAATAGATAGGGAAACCGAGTTTGTGCAGAGTCTGGGCTTGGTGATGGATGATATATGAAATCAGACCCAGAGACCGGTATTCAGGCAAAGTGCCTGCCATCCGCAGCTCGCCTGTTTGGTCCATCAAGTCCCAGGACACAGGGGTCCCCTCAGGTCCCAGAAGACAGAATGTGGGGAATTTTCGGATACAGTGCTCGATGAACCTCTCACTCCTTTCATTGCCTCCAAAAAGCCAGAATTTATTCACCAAGGCCGCATGGGTAACATCCAAAGATGAGACTTTGAATTTCTCTTCATTGCTGTGAAGGGTTCAAAGATAAAAACAGAGTTTGTGAGTATGGAGAGTTACTTGTTTTTACCTCCTTTTTTTGGGGGGGGGGAGAATGGAGAGAGGAAATAGTGAATGCAAAGTTGAGCATGGGCAAGCTGGCAAACACAGAGTGTCGTAGAAAATGAGGAGGGACAAGAACAGTCCCAGAGGTGCACAGTACCTGAGAGATTTCAAGTTAGAAGGGAAATGTAGAGTCATTTAAGCAGGCCAGAATCACGATCAGAATTTACACAAAATATGGTTAATGTGCCACGGTGCTATGGTTAGTGTGGTTAGGGCTGGAGCAATAGCACAACAGGTAGGGCATTTGCCTTGCATGTGGCTGACCCAAGTTCTATTCCTCCATCCCTCTTGGAGAGCCGGCAAGCTACTGAGAATATCCCGCCCGCACGGCAGAGCCTGGCAAGCTTCCTGTGGCATATTCGATGTGCCCAAAAACAGTAACTACAAGTCTCACAATGGAGACATTACTGGTGCCCGCTGAAGCAAATTGATGAACACGGGACTACAGTGCTACAGTGCTACATTGCATGGTTAGTGTGACTATTCTGCCTGCTTTAGGAGTAAGGACTGCATGGAGGCCAGAACTAAAATAAAGAGAGAAGGCTTCTTATCTTCTCAAAGTGATAAGATTTCAGTTCAGAGAGACTCGGATTCAACTCACATGGCATTAGGTTTGCCATCACCAGGGGATAATTTCTTGACATCCAGCAAGGAAGGAGCCAGTTCCTTAATCGTATCTGCCTTCATAAAGAGAAGATTCTGCATATGTTCGGCCTTGAAGGAATTAGCAGCTGCAAGGTTTTGTATCACCTCATTCAGAGTGGGCTGTGCACCTGAAATGGGATTATAAGGAGGGAAGTAATGAACTCAGTAATGAATTTCATACTCTAGGGAGGTCACCAGTCAAATAAGGTTATCTGGAATCTGTAGTCAGAAAATCTTGCTTCTGAATTGATGTTCTCAATGTGATCAGGCCAGCATCACTGGGATTTGTACAAATATCCATGTTTCTCATAAGTGACATCATGTTCAAAAATTTTTTGAGTCGTAGTCATGCCATTAGTGGCCATCAGAACATTGGAACCAAGCTTTCTAAGCTGCATAATTAGGGGAGTATGATAATCAAAATGAATAAATCAAAAGATAACCAACACCAACTGAACACATACAATGTTATCAGAATGAAAATCATTTATCCTATGGATAATAAGCCACAATTTGTTCATACATGCTTGTAATCATCTCCTAGAACTGTCCTTTCCTGCCCTGCATCTCATCTTGGCCATATGCTACTTTCATCAATGGCAAAGGGTAAATTTGATACAGGAAAAGCCACCCACCCAGGGTGCTTTCTGACTAGGGTGTCTCGTTCTACACACCCGCGCTCTATTGCAATTGACATATCATGTAGGCATATGGTGTATACAAGCCTGTGGGGTCACGTGCTCCTGTCATGCCATCACCTCAAGGAACAGCCAAAGTTGAAAGGACGCCCATCATTCTGTTATTCAGGTGAATCATAAATGACAGAATAAGCATAGTAAACCCAGGTTAGAACAGACCAGAGCTATCTAAGAAGCTCAGCTCAGATTATTGAATCAAAGAATATAGGTTTTCTATGCTATAAAATTGTTTTTTGTTGTTGTTTATTTTTGCAGAGAGAATTTTGATCACAACCAGCCCTGTTTAGGGTTACTCTGGCTCTGTGCTTAGGGGTTACTCCAGGTGGTGCTCTGAGTACTATGTGTGGAGATTAAACTGGGCTTTGCTGTGTGAGGCAATTCCCTGTTGTCAAATAATTCACCAGGTATAATGCTAAGCAACTAACTACATTCAGTATTAGTGTTCTCAGTGCCTCTGTTTAAATGTCATTATTATATTAATTTTTAGATGTAGGAATCACAGACTCAGCAAGGAAAAGTCTCATCTAGGATTCCATAGCAAACTTCAGACAGATGCCAGCCATTATAGGGGGTCTTATTCTGGAAAGTACCTGGTAACTGCAATTGCTCTTTTTGATCTCATTTGATGTCATTCTTATTCCTGGAGTGGAAGTCCCCAAGGGAATTGACACCTAATCATCCTAAGGGATCCTGAATATCTACAAAAGAAATCCTTGGTTCTCAAGGAATTATATTTCCCTCTGTGACAACCATTCTTGGCAAGTTTTGAGGGCATTCCCCCTTATCATAAGTGTTCTTGTGTCTTAATCAAATACCTGACAGAAAACTAGGAATGGAGAGGAAATTGTTCAGGGCAGAGAAGCACAGAAGAGAACCAACAGACATACATCTCTGTCTTACTTTGGATCTGCAAATGTTGTTTCCAATTGATGACTTCTGGTGAACCAAGGAATTCCTGGCAATTCTTGAGGTCCTTGGAGAATATTTGATAGGTATTGGTGTAGTGATCAAGGTCATCCATCATTTCCTGTTATCATTTACAGAAAAATAACATGACAAATTATTCATATTTCATTATAATAATACTCGAGATTTTTCTTTATGCTATTATAATATCAACTACTTTATGATAATGGTAGCTTATTGATCAATTATCTTTTATTTTAATCACTTATGTAATGAAGTCAGAATGAAAGATCTGAATTTATGATAGAAAACTGCAGAATGATACTTTTTAAAAAATAAATGATTTATTATTATTATTTTTGGTCACACCCAGAGATGTCTCCATATGATATCTTGGTTCAGTATTCAAGAGTGTCTATTTCTGGTGATTTTCAGGGGCCCATGTGGCATGGGGGATGGAATTTAGTCCATTCTCAGGCAAAGCATGTGCTCAGCCCATTGAATTAACTCTCTGGGACCAGAGCTATTATTTAATCATATATTGCAGAGTTAGAGAAATTTAATAGACTTATGTTAAAATTTGCAATAAAAGTGAATCACTATTATTTAGAAAGTAACTTCAATACCTTCATAATACTTACGAGGAAGAAGAGAAAGCAAGTAACAAATTGAGACACCACTTATTTAGATTGATTCTCTCAAATTATTAAATATAAATGTAATCATTAGTAGGATAGAGGCGTACAAATATTTTTCACAACAGTTTGGGTATTACAACCTTTTTTTCAGTAGTTGGACAATAATACCAGCTGGTAAATCAGCAATGGTATCACTAATACTTTTTTTTCTCTCTTATAATTCCTTTAAAAATAGGAGTTGTAAAACTTTTATTTCAGTTTTTATTATTAATGTGAATTTCATCTAAAGTAATATTTAACTTAGTGTTCCTTGAAAATAACTATTACTGGGACTGGAGAGATAGTACAGTGGGTAGAGTGCTTGCTTTGCACATGGCTGACCTGGGTTCAATTCCCGGAATCCCACATAATCCCTTACGCACTGTCAGGAGTAATTCTTGAGTGCAGAGCCAGGAGTTAATCCTGGGCATTGTCCCAAACTAAAACCAGTAATGATTATTACATGTATAATATATATTATAATTTTACTGGGTGTTATAGAATAAATTTAGGGATTTGGACATTTAAATGTATTAACTATTTAAAAAGTTCATCATAATTAGAAATTAAAGTTATAGTAGTTTACATATTGTATAACATTTATATGTACAGGGATATACACACATATATAGTTTTGTTTTGAGACTACATCTGCAGCTAAGGAACTACTCTGAGCTTTTTGTATGAGGGTTGTTCCTTGAGGTACTCAGGGGACTATGCAGTGTTGGGAATCAAACCCAGGCTTCCTCAACTCATTGAATTATCTCTCTGGCCTGACATCTCTATAGCTAATGATTTGATTAGCCCCTAAAGTTCAGTTTCTATCCTCTACCTCAGGTAACTATTATTTTATAGTCATAATTTGGGTTTATTTTATTTTTATCTTTTGCATTCATTAGCTTGGCTTCTTTATCTTCTACACATAAGAGAATCCTATGCTATTTCTCCATTCCTGACTTCTTTCCCTTAGCAAAATATCCTAAAGTTACATCAATTTTATTGTAAATGGCATTTTTAATAACTGATATTTACTTGTGTATTCTTTTTATTGATTCCTCCATCAAAGAATACTTAGGTTATTTCCATATCTTCATGATTATATTTAATCTTGTAATAAACGTAGAAGTATTTGTAGTTTTTGAATTAATCTATTTATAATCTTTATATGAATACCCAGAATAGAAATTACTGAATGCTATGTTAATTCTGGTCTTATTTTTTGGGAAATATGTATTCCGTTTTTATAGTGATTGCACTAATTTACATTCCCATCAACAATGTACAAGAATTTCCTTTAATCCATTAATCCTGCTTGGTGATCTAAAGGTTAGGATTCAGCATTTTCACCACATTCATGCCAACACTTGGTTCTTTTTAGTAATAGCCATTATCACACTTGTAATAGCTAATAACTAATAGCTCATTGTGCTACTTTCTCACTTTCATTTCCCCAAAAATTACTGGTGATGAAAATATTTTTTTTTCTGTGGCTGTTGGCTATCTGCATATATTTAGATGAATGTCTATTTAGTTCTATGCCCATTTTAAAGTTGGGTTGTTCAAAACGGTGCTGGCATAACTGGACAACCGCATGCAAAAAAAATGGGCTTAGACCTCCACCTAACACCATGCACAAAAGTCAGATCAAAATGGATTAAAGATCTCAACATCAGGCCAAAATCCATAAGGTACATTAAAGACAAGGTCAGCAAAACCCTCCACGATATTGAGGCTAAAATGGTATTTTCAAAGACAACACTCTACTGACCAACCAAATGGAAACAGAGATAAACAAATGGGAATATCTTAAATTAAGAAGCTTCTGCACCTCAAAAGATATAGTGACCAGAATACAAAGACAATCTACTGAATGGGAAAGGATATTTACCCAATACCCTTCTGATAAAGGGTTGATCTCTAGGACATACAAAGCACTGGTTGAATTCTACAACAAGAAAACATCTAACCCCATCAAAACATGGGGTGATGAAATGAACAGAAACTTTCCCAAAGAAGAAATCCAAATGGCTAAAAGGCACATGAGAAAATGCTCTACATTACTAATCATCAGGGAGATGCAGATCAAAACAACAATGAGATAACATCTCACACCACAGAGAATGGCCCACATCCAAAAGAACAAAAGCAACGGGTGTTGGCATGGATGTGGTGAGAAAGAGACCCTCCTTCACTGCTGGTGGGAATGCTGACTGCTTCAGTCCTTTTGGAAAACAGTATGGACGATTCTCAAAACATTAGAAATTAGCTCCCACTTGACCCAGCAATACCACTCCTGGGAATACATCCCAGAGAGGCAAAAAAGTATAGTCAAAATGACATCTGCACTTCTATGTTCATTGCTGCACTGTTCAAAGTAGCCAAAATCTGGAAAAAACTGGAATGCCTGAGAACAGATTAAAGAAACTGGTTAAAGAAACCTTGGTACACCTACACAATGGAGTACTATGCAGTTGTTAGAAAAGATGAAGTCATGAAATTTACATACAAGTGGTATTACATGGAAAGTATCATGCTAAATGAAATGAGTCAAAAAGAGAAGGACAGACATAGAAAGATTGCATTCATCTGGGGTATATAAAGTAACAAAATAGGAGACTAACACCCAAGAATAGCCGAGATAAGTACCAGGAGGTTCACTCCATGTCTTGGAGGTCAGCTGCACATGCTGGGGGAAAAGGCAGCTCAGATAGAGAAGGGAGCACCAAATAAAGGGTGTTGGGAGGATCCTCCCAGGATGAGAGATGCATGCTGAAAGTGGACTATAGACTGATCACGATTGCCACTCAATGCCTCTTTTGCAAACCACAACACACAAAAGGAGAGAGAAAACAAAAGGGAATGCCCTGCCATAGGGATGGGGTGAGATGGGGGGGGAGGGGGGGTGGGGGGGATACTGGGAGCATTGGAGGTGGAGAATGGGCACTGGTGGAGGGATGCGTACTCAATCATTGTATAACTGAAACCCAAGTACAAAAACTTGTATGTCTACAACTGTACCTCATGGTGTTTCACTAATAAAAATTTCAAAAAAAAATACAGTTGGGTTGTTCATATTTATTGTCACTATATTGTAAGAATATCTATCTATTTATAGGATTTTAACCTTTGATTACATGTATTTTCAAACATAATCTCCCACTCAGGAGTGTATTTTCATTTTACAATAATGTCTTGCACTTTGTGGAGCTTTTTAGCTTGATGTATTTTGGCTTTTGTTTCCCTAGCTATTGGAGTTGAATCCCCAAAGATATCACTGAGCTACACAATTACTATGTAAAAATCTCTTGTTTTTCTATACACAATGAATCATCAGAAAAAGAAATTATGAAAACAATTGGTGATTTATGATCACTCTCACTGCTATCTCCCAGCCTCATATTTTTTCCTTTGTAATTTTCTCACTGTTCTGTAACAGATAGATATTTGTTATTTATGTGTTCACTTCCCTGTCACCTTATCACAAATATATTTATAAAATCTTGTTCAGATGAAACCTTCATCAAACCTGTTCAGATGAGATCCCCATCTCTATCCTCGATAGTTTAATCAGTCTCTTTCCCTGAGTTCTGTATTTTTTATGTTCTCTTGCACACTCCAGACTGATTGAGTTGCTTATCTGTCTTTCCCTGCAGGCTGGGAGATTCTTGAAGACAGAGACTTGTTCGCCTTTGCCATTGCCATCACTGTGATTTATTTCTACATCCCCACAAAGCCATATTGCCTGGGAAGCAGATAGTGACGCTGAAGTAGTTTGATTCTGCATCCAGCACCTTACCTGCTCCTGAGGGCGGATAACCACTGTCTTAAAATCAGGCCAGGTGTCCACTAGGGCCTTTAGGTTGAATGGATTTCCCTGGATCATGTGGAAGACAGTTCCATAAACCTGTAGCATTTGGAGGAAGCAAAAAGGTGAACTTATAAGGAAGGATTGGCCAAGTCCTTTGTGCTGGATCAGGACAAGGAATATTGCTTTTTTCCCTTTGGTTTTTGTGTTCGGGGCTTACTCCCGACTCTGCACTCAGGGATTATTTGTGGTGGTGCTCAGGAGACCATATGGGTGCAAACCTAGAATCCAGGCTGAATGCTTTCAAAGCAAACACCCTACCCCTGTACTGTAACTCTGGCCTCAAGGAGTATGTCTATAAAATCAAATACTTTCATGATATAAAATGGGCAAATATCATGCTTAAAGAACTTTTCACCTGCTGAGGTCATAATGCTGTGGGCCAGGCAGCTAGTTTAAGAATCAACTGGTGTTGAGACATATGATAAACTATTCATATCTATCACTTAGAAGAACTGCATGGTCACCTACCTCCACCTTCCCACCCCTAGCACCATGTGTGGGTCTCAGGAGCCCTATGGTACTTGTAAGACCCAACATTGCTGGAATGGCCCCAGGCTCCAGAGCAGAACCAAGACTCACTTTCCTGCTAATATATATAAGGCACAGACTATTTTAGATAAAGAAAAATGCATCACTTCAATCTGCAGCAAAAGTCTATATAATATATATGCAATTTATGTACACATATGTGCACAGGCAAGCAAATGTACTTTGGTCTCATGGGAAAGAAGCGTGTTTCTTTTCTTTTCTTCTTTTCTTTTGGGGGGGGTCACACCTGGCAATGCACAGGGGTTACTCCTGACTCATGCACTCAGAAATTACTCCTGAAGGTGCTCGGGGAACCATATGGAATGCTGGGAATCTAACCTTGGTCAGCTGCATGCAAGGCAAATGCCCTACCCACTGAGCTATTGCTCCAGCCCCAGGAACTTATTTCTTTAATTATTAAAAAAATAGCAAGTAAGGACCAAGCATAGATTTAGGATTGCTCTTGTTCAGTTCTTTATGGACCCTGATGTGTAATTTCTTTTTTCTTTTTTCTTTTTGTAGTGGTTCTTCAAAGTGGTGCTCAGGGGATCCGAGGGCCCCCTCCCAGTAATACCAGGCTGGATGGTTCTATGTTCAGGCCTGCAGTACGGTGCTGCTCTAGCCTCTGGATGTAGAGACCACCAGGACAACTCTGGAGGTGCTGGGATGGGGGTCGCAAGGGCTTATTGACATTCAGCACTGAGGTCCTCATACAGCTAGACATGTGTCCCAGTCATTTTTCCAGCCCTGGTTGTGTAATTAATTAATTGTGTTATTTAATGCTGCAATTTTCACTACTTTTTCTAGGTTGACCTAGAAAAAATAACCACTCAGGTTAATGAGGTTATGAAGAGTCAGCCTCAAAATAATCTGAATTGCAAGTCACACTAACTGGGATTTTGTAAGCAAAATAGTAGTTGATGTACTTTTGATCTTTTTCTATGCAAAATAGCAATTGATGTACTTTTGATCTCATTATTTTCAAAGGCAACTTATAATGAATAACCATTCACCTGACAAGTGTTCATTTAGGGAGAACAAATGGAATATTAACACAAGTAGTCTTCAGCAACTTTGCAGGAAAACTTGGGGCAAATTTCTGGTGGACAGTTTTATCGTCATTTTTTTGGAAGGACCAGTGGAATACATTTTGAATTACAAGGGTAGTAAATGTCAGTGTTAGATCTCAGGCATGAATTTATTCACCCAGGCATGAATATTTAAACATATTAAAAATAAATGTGTTTCATTTAGTAAGTTACAGTGTAATTCACTATTTATGCAAGATCACATAAATCACATAATTGAATTTGTATTTCTAACAATGACAAAGAAACACTAGCATATATCCGACAGAGCAGTAAAGCAAATTAAATGTGAGAAAACAAAATAATAGTGCCTGGCACAGCAGAGGTGTACAACAAGTATTTGTCTCTTTTTCCACAAGAGTTTCCCATGCTCACCTTTACAGATTCAGGAAGGCTCTTCCTCAAGGATTTCTGCAGGGTCTGTAGCATCTGAGCGCCTTGCAACTGGAACATTGTGAGGATTTCTTTAGCTAAAAGAGAGAACCAAAAAAAAAAAAACCAGTCAGGGAGGAGATGCAGAAATGTGCAGATGTTTTTACTGAAATGTTTTTATAAAAATATGAGAGAAGGAGAAAAGGGGAAATGTCTTCAAGAGAGAACATGGACAGCAAAGAAACGTATTGATCAACAAGGGGGCTCCATGGTCAAGGGAGAACACGGGCTTGAAAAGCAAACACAGAAATGTGCAAAAGTTCTGTGCTGATGGTAGGACCTCTTCAGTGTCTCTTCTTGGGGATGGAACCCTGGTCGGCCGCCTGCAAGGCAAACACCCTCCTGGCGACACTGTAGTTCCGAACCCTCTTTGTTCACTTTCAGGAAAGCTCTAGCCAAAGAAGGAGCCAAGATGGTAGAAAGTTCAGGAGGTTCTTTCCAAATTTTTCATCTTTTCTTAAAATATTGAAACATTTTCTTAAAGCACTAGATGAACCCGCACGATGACATATATGTAAAATGTGACCTGAAAAAGAACTCAAAGGGCTGTAAGTCAGGTGTGCCTCCCTCCCCAACATATCAAGTATTTTGTTTATTATTGGGTCACGCTCGAAGATGGCCCACTTCGAGGCCACTCCTGGTGCAGTAACAGCATGGCATCACTTCCCCTCCTGGAGTTCTGGGGTACGTGTGGTGTTGGGGCTCAAACCTGGGTTTTCCATATGCAAAGCATGTGCTCCAACTCTTTGAGCCATCGCCCCAGTCTGTATAACATATTTTGGGAATTATTTGCTATTAGTGGTTCTCGTAACTCTCTCAGTAATATGTGGTGTAACACTGAAAAAATAATTTAGTGCCTTATTCTCCTCAAAGGTACATAGGATAACAGCATATATAATAGAATTTGTGTGAAGATAAAACAGGTTAAAATTGAATGAGCAAATTTGGGTATATATAGGCATGTATTTCATACAATAGCATTGCACATGTTATTTTTTATCTTTGTATTATGGTATTATAGCTTATGGTTTATAAAAGATGTTATTTATAATTGCAGAGCACTATACCAATCGCACCATCAGTGATTCCAGATCCTTCCATCATTATCCCATCATCCCTTCTACTCCCTTCACCTCAGCTCAAGGTTTTATTGATCATGTCTCAGAATTTGTTTCTGCTGGGGATTGTCTAACCCCTCTCTTTGTATCTTTTTACTTCTCTTATGAGCATTATCATCTCATACTTACTTTTTGCTTTCTGATTCACTTTATTTAGCACGATATCCTCCAATTTCATCCATCTGCTTTTTCTGCACTTCTCTGCCTTTTAATGCAGTGCTTTTGGCATGGTCTAAACTAGCCATCTTTTACATTCTCAAATTACCAAGCCATATTCAAAGTTGTTTCTCTCACTGCATCACTGAGCCTCAGCCAACTTTTGAATTTTACTCCATTCCTGAATCTTTATTGCATTATGACACATACTTTACAAATTTCTTCTTTTTTTTAATTAAAAACATTTTTTAATAGTGAAACATCATGAGGTACAGGTTGCAGACTTACACATTTTTGTGCTTGGGTTTCAATCATACAATGATGAAACACTTTACAAATTTCTAGGCAGTAGAAGCATCACGTATACAATCAGAAAGCCAGCTCAATGGGCTGGACACAAGTTTTGTATGTAGAAGTTCAGGGGTCTATCTCCAGGTCCCCATATGGTCCCTCCCTAAATACCACTGGGTACAACCCACAAATCCCCATTCAAAAAATGCCCAAACACAACACAACTCCAAAATCCAATCGTTCTCCTAATCCTCAGTTTATTACACAAAATTTGGATTAATGAAACTTTTCTGAACATAACATATACATTTAAAAAATGAAGAAAAGAGATATGTAACAGTGTGATCTTTGGAGGAGGGAAAAAGTTTCTTTCTTTTGCTTTTGCTTTTTTGGGGGGGAGGGATCACACCTGGCAATACTCAGGATACTACTAGCTGCGCCCTCAGAAATTACTCCTGGCAGTGCTCAGGGGATCATAAGGGATGCCAAGGTCAACTGTACTACCACTCTGGCCCTGTAATGCTTCTTTTAATGAGGGTACTGAAATGTTTTGAAAAAATGTTGCAATAAAGCTGTCAATGCATGAGACATCATGCTCTAAGCCAGAACTTGGTAATCAATTATAGAAAAACAGGAGATTTGTGCTTCTTGCCAAGATTGGGGAACAAGATTATCTCCCTACCTGAAAAACAACAACTCTGAACTATTAGATGAAACAACAGTTTTCATCAGTTGTTCTGAGGTCAGGCTGTTGGAATGTAGCTTCAAATATTTTAGGCTTAACATTGATTTGCCCTTCCCCCCTTGCCACGAGGAACTCAGGTTTATTACAGTGCTCCTGAGGCACTTCCATTCCATTGTGTTTATCTGTAAAGTCTTCCCTATGCTCTCCTCCTCAACCAGTTAAATCAGCTTTTCCCCTAATTAGACTCTGTTAACTTGTAAGGTTCTCGACCTAGGTACACATATGTGTACCTAGGTCGAGAAGTCAACATGACAAATGACCTGGCACCCGAGCTGCGCAGGAGGAAGAGAGCGGCTTGGAACGCCTTCAAGAACGTCGAAGAAATAGCTAAGAGGATGAAGAACCTCTGGCTCCGGGCACATCTCTTTGATTCCACTGTTCTTCCTGCATTAACATACGCCTCAGAAACCTGGGCCCTATGCAAGCAGGATGAGAACGCTATTCGGGTCTCCCAAAGAGGAATTGAAAGAGCTATGCTTGGAATAACACGTTTCACTCAAATGAGAGAAAGAATCCGGAGTTCTGACATCCGTCGACGATCAAGAATCAGGGACGCCGTATCATTTGCCAAGGTGTCAAAAATCAGATGGGCTGGTCACGTAATGAGATTTAAAGAAGACCGCTGGACTAGAGCTGTTACCGACTGGATTCCACGGGATGTCAAAAGACCTCGTGGCCGCCCACCTACCAGATGGTCAGACTTCTTCGTCAAGATCATGAACGATCGGTTTGAGGCTCTTCATGTTCCCAGAGCGAACAGATGACACTGGGCTACACTAGCACGTGACAGGGATAAATGGAGACGTTACTGGCACCCACTCGAGCAAATCAATGACTAACGGGAAGTTAAATGATTAAGTGATTAAGTGAACTTGTAAGGTTAGATTCCTCAGAAATCTATGATTTTATATGTATGAGTGAAATATTGCCTTTCTCCTCGCCTTATGTCTTTTGAATAGTTCACTTTAATGGAGTGATAGCACAGCGGTAGGGCATTTGCCTTGCATGCAGCCAACATAGCCGACCCGAGTTCGATTCCTCCGCCCCTCTCGGAGAGCCTGGCAAGCTACCGAGAGTATCTTGCCCGCACGGCAGAGCCTGGCAAGCTCCCCGTGACGTATTCGATATGCCAGACACAGTTACAACAAAGTCTCCAATGGAGACGTTACTGGGCCCGCTTGAGCAAATCGATGAACAACGGGAGGGCCTTTACCTTACCTTACCTTACCTTACTTTAATGTAATATCCTTTTTGTATAGATACAGAAAGACAGTTAATATTATGCTTTTGTAACTTAGGATTTAATTGGCTTTGAATATTATTCACTCCCGGGCATCTGCTTTCTCGACTTAAGCCTCAGTTGCCCTTGGTTCCTAATACCCCCAAAGCAGGGTCCCAATAAGGGACTGAATGGACCCAGGGCAAGCGATGAGCTACCCTGGCATCGAAATGGGCCAGGCCAAAGTGCCATGATTTTTAACTATATAAGTTAAGAGTTTGATCACAGACAAATGCTGTCATGATCCAAAAGTAACGACAAGACTAGGACCCTGCTAGGGATAGGAAAGACTATCTGACCTGAGCACTCTAGTCTGAGATCAAGATGGCCCTCGGAGGGCAATTCTATAAGTTTAAGGTATTTCTTACTGTATCCATACAAAATGATTTATATTATATATGCTTATATGTTTGTTAGACAAGGAGAGGAGAAACACACCCAGGGGAACCTGCTCTAGATTGATCTGATAATGAGGATCTGTCCTAGGAGCATATGTGGGGGGGGGGCAGAGAATTCAACCCCTATTGATTGTGATCGCACCTATGTGTAATTGTTACCTCAATCCCTCATGCTGGGGGATATAATGAGACTGTTAAGAATGGGCAGGAGGAGGCAGAGGACAGAGATAGGAGTGGACGGAAAGAGGATTGGAATAAACTGCAACTGACATCAACCAGCCAGGCCCTCTTCCTTCCTTTACCTGCCCATCGCCATCGACCTCCCCGGGGTTGGAGAAGTGGCAGGAGACTACCGAACGCGGGCAGCGGGAGAGACAGAGTCACCGCTGCTGTGTCCTTTTTGAGTTTACACACAGGCAACTCTGGAGTCTGATCCTTGGGAAAAGGTACCCTAAAGGTGAACCTTGTGACAGACCCATTTTACTATTTGAAGAGTTTTCAGGTTTAGAAATGGAATCTGTCCAGATTATAGATGTCTCACTGATTTGGGCATATGGAGATGGAGTTTGGCAGAGGCCTACATGAAGCTCAGAAAGTGAGAGAGCTGAAGATCTCCAGGGGAAAAACAATGCTTCATATTTGGTTTATTATTTATTTGGGTATGAAAAGAAGAAATCAGCTTAGGGCTTTATCATGGGAAGAAATTACTGGAAAAAGAAGGTAGAAAAATTCCTTAGGATTCACAATAAGCCCAAGATAGTGTGTGTTATCCAGGATGGAGTAAAAATATCTCATATCATAAGGGCATTATGTTATGAGATTTCAGTAGGAGAGTTAAATTTAGCTTTGTCTCTTCGATATTCTTTCAATATTAGTGAGAAGCAAGAGTGAAATGATTCGGGGCTGGAGTGATAGCATAGTGGGTAAGGCATTTGCCTTGCATGCAGCTGACCTGGGTCTGATTCCCGGCATCCCATATGGTCCCCCAAGCACCGACAGAAGTAATTCCTGAGTGCATGAGCCAGGAGTAACCCCTGTGCATTGCTGGGTGTGACCCAAAAGAAAAAAAAAAGTGAAATGATTCTAAAATTTAACCATGCAATTGAAAAAGGTTTAATTCTATAAGTGGATATAACAAAAGTTCATCATTAACTGTATAATTCACACAATATGTGAATATAAAATAGATCTACATTCAGAAAAGCAAAGAAAAGAAAACTATAATGGGGGGGAAACCAAAAATGAATAAAAATTAAAACATTGGAGACACTTTCAAACCCTATGGTCAAAATTTTTATCCTACAGCAATAGGGATTCTCCTATTATAAAGTTTCTTTATACCAACATTTTTTAAAAATTATTGAAAATAAGGTTTTTCTTTATACAAAGAAAGAAAACACAGAATCACAGAATTTAGCAAATTAGGACATTACATTTTCATAATAATATTGTTCTTCATGTTTAAGTAGAGAAAGACAGGATTAAGGAGGATAAAAGCAAGCTATAAAAATATTAATGGAGTTTACAGCATGAAAGATACAACTTCCAAAATAAAAATATGCATTAGATGTCACTATTAGTAGATTAGACATTAGTAGATTATGGAAGATAAGCTTAGTGAATTTGAAGACATAGCAATTATAATTGTTCATAATAATACACAGAGGAGGAAAAGGATGTAAGTGATTCATTCTGTGACTACATCATCATTTCTCCCCAAATTGATTTATAGATTAAAATTCATCATAAAATATGCCATTTTATTATTATGAAGTGACAAACTGAATTCAAAATTTACATGTTTTAAAGGATTACGAGAAACCTACAGAAATCATGAGAGTGTAGTCTTGCCATCATGAGAGACAAATAGATCAATGAAAGAGAGAGCAGAAATAAATGGATACCATTGGTCATTGACTTTCTACATAGATATCTGAACAACTGAATGGAGCTAAGATAGTCTTTTCAGCAAATGGTTCTAACTTACATTTTTAAATGTTAAAGTTTTTAAAGAGTCAATTTCTGAATGCTCATGTATTTAGGTACTCCTCTGATATTTCTGCCCCAGCATTATTTTTCTGAAACAATTTCTTATTTCACATGGGGAATTTTATTAATTTCAGAAGAAAAAGAAGTTTCTAAAGTACCGTATTATATATACTGTTGAATCACTGGTCTGGAGCGATAGCACAGTGGTAGGGCGTTTGCCTTACGTGCAGCCGGCCCTGCCGAGCCGGGTTCAATTCCTCCATCCCTCTCGGAGAGCCTGGCAAGCTATCAAGAGTATATCTTGCCGCACAGCAAAGCCTGGCAGGCTACCCGTGACGTATTCAATATGCCAAACACATTAACAACAAGTCTCACAATGGAGTCGTTACTGGGCCTGCTCCAGCAAATCGATAAACAACGGGAGGACAGTGCTACAGTGCTACAGATTGAATCACTGTGAAATATAGTTACAAAACTCATGAGTGGATTTCAGTCATACAATGGTCCATCACCTGTCGCTTCACCAGTGTACATTTCCTACCACCAATGTCCCCAGTTTCCCTCCCCCTCCACCCCCCAGCTTGCCTCTGTGGTAGGTGCTTTTTTTCTCTGTCTCTGTCTGTCTGTCCGTCTGTCTCTCTCTCCTTCTTCTTTTGGGTATTATGGTTTGCAGTACAGGTAACTGAAAAGTTATCATGTTTGTCCATTTCCCTACTTTCAGCACTCAGTTCTTGTCCAGAATGATCATTTCCAGTTATCTTTGGCATAGTTGTCCCTTCTCTATAATAACTGACCTCCCCCTGCCACCACTTGTGGCAAGCTTCTAACAATCAACCATTCCTCCTGGCCTTGTACTGTATTTTTATAGCATAGTACTATCAGGTAAGGTCTTTGTGTGGGAATAATAAAACGAGACAAAAGCAAGCTTGTGCTAAAATCAAGACCAGGCATGAACAAAGAGAAAGTCAGTTGTATCTACAAATGATCAAATATTTATCTCCCCACTGAAGAATGGGTTGCTACCCAGCCTCCCACATCCTCTCCTCCTTTCAAGTAGTTGCAAAACTTTCTGACAGTGTTCAAGTCAGAGCAAAACTATGATTTCTTGCAACCTCCCTTCAATCAACTAAATTCTTTTTGATGCACTATTATTGAACTGCATTGCATTTTCACTGCTTGTGTTCTTTCTCTTTGCATCAGGCAAAACTTTGTTGGCGCACCCAGATGTACTCCCTTATGGGTGGTTATTGACTAGAAGTTAATGAAATGTTTGTTTTTTGATCATAGTTTGTGTTCATTTGTACAATTTATACTTGTTTTAATCTTCCAGGCATCAGTTATTATTGACTTTTCCCTACACTTCCAGGCCTTCTCTTTCTAGTGCATCTTCTTAGAAAGTCGGCACTTCTGAATGCCCATGAAAAGTTTCAGCTGAACAAGGATAAATCTGTTTCTATGGAAAAAACATCCAGATTACAGAGATTTGACTATATTTTTGGATTGTGGAGTTTTAATCTGTAGTGTAGTGTATGGACTATTGAATCTGTTACTGACTTTTCCACTTGTTTCTTTCCCTACTTTCAGCACTCAGTTCTTGTCCAGAATGATGATTTCATAGTGTTTGTTCTATGTCCCCATGTCTATACCCCTGTCAATAATTTAAAGAAAACACAAAAGGTATAATTTCCCCTTCATCTTCTTATTGTGTGAGAAGAGATCTGGCTAGAGGAGACGGTTATGGTGTACCAAATGAACATTTTGCCATTTGGCTCTATTATAACCTCCTAGACTTTCTCTGAATTTTCTCTACTACATAGTACCACAGAACATTGTTTCAGCCAGAATTGGCTTTAGCTACATTAGTCTTTCAAAAAGTTGTATTATTATAAAGTTGTTCACAATAATTTATTGCATTCAATATTTCAACACCATTACACCTTCCCACCACCATTATTTCAAATTTTCCCACCACCACTCAAGCCTGCCCCAAAGGCAGATGCTAAATAATTTATTTTATATTATTTCTTATGAATAATAGACTAAAAGTGATCCAAAAAGATTTCCTTGGAGGAAAGTATGTGAAGATTGTTGTATCTAGCCTTGGAGTCATTAAGGCCCTGTATAAGAGATCACTAGCATATTGGTATAGGTTGAGCCTTGTGTGCTATATGTGTGTGTGTGTGTGTGTGTGTGTGTGTGTGTGTGTGTGTGTATTATCAAGATCTGTTGCCTTCTACTTTACACCCCACTAAATGTGGTGTGCTACTGTTGGCATATCAATGGCATAAATTATAAGATGTCGCATGGCTGCAAAAGCTAGTCACTCTATTCTTTCACCATTTTATTGCCTGCTTGGAATTCCAAGAATATAGGCCTGTGAGCCCCTATTGTCTTACTTGCAGTAGAACAAACCACCCCCTTTCCTGTGCTGTTATAAGTGTGCTCACATATCTCACCTTCACAACTTGTAACTTTAGAGAGAAATGTTCTTTTCTAGAGAGTAAACTTTTCTGGGCAAGACACTCTTCTTTTTGTCTTGTCCATTTATGTTTATATCCACACAGTATCTGGCTAAGAGAATGTTTTCAATTAAGGTACAGTCAATCTTTGAATGTACACAATGCTTATTTGAATTAATTTATCTAATTTCGCTACCTAGCAATGCTATAGACTGGTTTAGTTATTCAATCAAAGTGAAAATATTGAATTTTGAGTTCACCACATGTTGAATATCAGAAATGTTTTCACCTACCTTATATTGAGGTATATCTTCAAGGAAAGTCCAAGGCAGGATAGAGACAATCTTTTCTTGATTGTTCTTAGAAAACTATAAGCATCTGTTATGGAGAGGAAGCTCATAAGAATGCAACTTGAGTATAAGACACAATGTTTGATTATGCAATATTTGTTGATGTCAAGTCTGCGGGCTGTAACGTTATTCTGTTTCCTGAAATCTGTAGAATTTGGAACTACACATGAAGAATGGACACGCATATACTAACAAGCAGCCTGACACCTCATATGCAGGGTAGATTGAAAGCTGGTTAGACGATTCTTCAGAAAATCTGACAGTCACTGTGACCTGGCAGGACTGGGCATTTGGTAACATTCCTGTGAGTGGACTTTAAAACCTCTGAACCAGTCAGTTGTGAAATAGAAATCAAGCCAACGAAAATGTGTCAAGGAAAAAAAGTTTCAGAAAGAATCGAAGTCACCTAACTATATACAAGGACAGTATTAAAATTGCAAATTCCAATAAGGGAAAGGTAAGGTGAAACATGGTTTATTGAATGGTATAATTCTAAGATAAGTCCCATAAATATGGACACAGAGGAGACTGCTAAAATGAAAAAGTGTAGGGTAGAAACAGTTCATATCCCACTTAGTAAAACATAAACTAGAAAAAAACAACCCAAGTTAAAAAGTAGATTAGTAGTAGCAAAAAAGTAACATGTTTTAAATACATAGCACAGGGGTAGGGCCTTTGCCTTGCAAGCTACCCACCCAGCCGAGCTGGGTTTGATTCCTCCGCCCCTCTCGAAAAGCCCGGCAAGCTACCGAGAGTATTTTTCCAGAACGGCAAAGCCTGGAAAGCTACCCGTGATGTATTCGATATGCCAAACACAGTAACAACATGTCTCATAATGTAAATGTTACTGGGCCCGCTTGAGCAAGTTGATGAACAATGGGAGGACAGTGCTACAATGCAGTGCTACATTACATAATTTAAATTAGAAGATAAATTAAAAATAAAAACAGATCTATATTTATCCTTCAAATATTCCAGTCCTCTTTTATTTTAGCTATAACATACATATTTTCAGTGAAAGAAAAATATATACCTTGAAATGAGAAAATTATGCATGGCACTGTTGAAGTGTTTCCGTATCAACTTGTGCCAGAGAGTGACCAATTCTTTTCTCATTTATGCAAGAGTTCAGAGAAGAAACCACCGAGAATTTTTATATTACATAACAAATTGTTCTCTACAGAGTAGATTCCACGTATGTTTCTTAAATTGAAGTTATTTCTTATCAAGTACAATTACCATAATATTCTGTGCATAACAAAATATAGACACGTTGATTTGTCTCACTTAAGTAGATAAAATGCCGCATAGCAATGACCTTTTCTTTGGAAGGAAACTCTGCTTACCCAATAACTTATCTTGTTTTTGATCCAAAGTTCTCACCTGAAAAGTTGTCTCCACACCAATATTTGCAAGTATTTCTAGTCAGTTCAGTAAACTCGTGTAGACTGACTGTATTTTTCTTTTTCTCCCAGAAATTACTGAGCTAAGGCTCATAATTTGGACCTTGTCCTTAACTGTAGATCCTGGTGTCAGCTCTGGTGAAATCCAGCCCTTTCCCTTTTTGGGTGTCCAGTTGAGGAATCTCACTCTGCAAGGTTGAGAGGCTGGCAGTATGCCATCTGAGTTCTTTTCAAAGCACCAGGATGCTATTTGTCCTTTGAAGTCCTACCTTTCCTCTGCAAACCTCAAATAAGTGTGAAGCAACACTCTCATCTTTCACTTTCCATTCTTGAATTCTTGCAATCAGAGAAGAGGAGGTGTGATTTGCAGAATCTGATCTCTTTTCCTACACAAGTGCATATCAGAGAAAAATTTGCATGGAATGGTAAAAGCTGTTAGGATAAGCTGTGTTCTCTTCCTGATTCCTTTGGAGGCTACTCTGAAACATCCCAACAAAGGTGGAAGGAAACCAAAGCCCAGAGTGGTGAATTAGTTGAAATCTATACCCTGAACCTTTCTATTGCTAATTGCTCTATTTATCTCAGAAAAGAAAGGAAGTTTCATAAAAAATATACTTTGAGTACACATTCTACAGTCTGAAACAATTGAAGAACAAATGTTGATGGCCTACTGAATCCTTGTCCTCATCGCCTTTAAAATTTTTTAATTTAATTTTTGTTTACAATACTATTAATGGTTTCGCAAGGACACAATTCTAGCACCACACCCATCACAAGTGCACGTCCACATTACTTTATTCTTATTTACCTTATTAGTTGATAGTTTCATTGGGAAGGATGAAGAGTCACTAAGTCATAGTGTATATAGAGTATATTATTCAATATAAGGGTGCCTAGTCTATAAAGAAAGTAAAAATAAGATTGTGCATTCTTTTAGTTCATAATCAGAGTCAGTCTGCACATAGTTGGTCTTCTCTAGTGCTCTTATCCTTAGCACATTAATACTTAATCTCATTTCCTGGGGATGGAATCACTATTATACTTCATTACACTTTCTCCAAGTCCAAAGGTCACTAAAATTGTTTCTCATTATCATCATAATGGGTTCTTTGTCCATAATAGGATATATCTCATGGGATTCATATCTCATGAAGGCAGACTCACAAAAAAAACAGGGTTCTCCAGGGACCTAAAACCAGGAACCAGACCCTTAGTCCTCTGTTTTTCAGCCCTCAATCACTCCCTCAGAAGATTCAATATTTCTGCTTCTATAATGGCTTTAGTTTGTGTCTTAATTTCCCTGGGAAATTTCTCCAACTATCAAAGAGTGCTGTTATATTTAATAATCAAGAACTTTGGTGAACTTTTTTTGACTTTCGCAAATATTTGTGCTGTGTGATATGAGATAATGGATGTAAATCTTCTTAGACTTTGGGGGTCAGATCTAAAGGGAAGGGTTCAAAGATTGGTATCAGTTTTCATAAAGTGTTTTCTGGTAGGTTCTGGATCTGGGTGGTAAAGGAAGAAGTGTGAGCCCGACCCTGCACCACTTAGCTACTGTGTGACCTTAGACAACTTATTTCACTCATCACTTAATGAACTTGCACAACTTATTTTATAATTCCACATCTCCTTATATATCTAGAAAAAGGAGTAAATGATTACATTTCTGTGGGGTTTTAAGAAAAAAATAACTTTTCTGTGCTCTGCTGTGGGTGAAAAGTTATCTTTTCTTTGTTAAAAAAGTTATCTTTTCTTTGTTAGCTTACCCTAAATTGGATTTCAGCAGAGTGGATTGCTCCATCTCTGCAGAAAGTTATGATTTTCTATAGTTTACCTAGCCTTTCCGCATCATTAGTGGTGGTAAATGCTTTATCTTTATCATTCCTATTTATAAACAGAATAAGAAAATAAATTTTCTTAACAGTACAATGCAAACAATAATTTCTTCTACAAATTCGTTGATGTCAAGAGAGGGGTGCGGCAGGGTGATACCATTTCACCGAAACTCTTCAGTGCCACCCTCGAGAACATCATGCGACGACTGGAATGGGAAGGAATGGGACTGAAGATAGATGGTCGGCAATTACACCACCTCCGCTTTGCTGATGACATTGTTTTAATAACACCAAACTATCAGCCAAGCGGCACAAATGCTGGCCGACTTTGACCGTGAGTGTGGAAAGGTAGGACTACAGCTGAATCTTACGAAGACAATGTTTATGAGAAACAGCCTTGTTCCTGACGCCCCATTCGCTCTCAATGGAATGACCATCTCCGAATGCAACAGCTATGTCTACCTAGGTCGAGAGGTCAACATGACAAATGACCTGGCACCCGAGCTGCGCAGGAGGAAGAGAGCGGCTTGGAACGCCTTCAAGAACGTCGAAGAAATAGCTAAGAAGACGAAGAACCTCCGGCTCCGGGCACATCTCTTTGATTCCACTGTTCTTCCTGCATTAACATATGCCTCAGAGACCTGGGCCCTACGCAAACAAGATGAGAACGCTATTCAGGTCTCCCAAAGAAGAATAGAAAGAGCTATGCTTGGAATATCACGTTTCACTCAAATGAGAGAACGAATCCGGAGTTCTGACATCCGTTGACGATCAAGGATCAGGGACGCTGTCTCATTTGCCAAGGTGTCGAAAATCAGATGGGCTGGTCACGTAATGAGATTTAAAGACGACCTTTGGACTAGAGCTGTTACTGATTGGATTCCACGGGATGTCAAAAGACCGCGTGGCCGCCCACCTACCAGATGATCAGACTTCTTCGTCAAGATCATGAACGATCGGTTTGAGGCCCTTCATGTTCCCGGAGCGAACAGATGCCATTGGGCTACACTAGCACGCGACAGGGACAAATGGAGACGTTACTGGCGCCCGCTCGAGCAAATCGACGACTAATGGGAAGTTAAGTGATTTAAGTGATTTAAGTGACAAATTCCAACATACAGTAAACAAAGAAAAAACTTATAAAATAAAGATTATTAAGTACTATTATCCATGTAAAAGTGTTCATATAACATTTAGTGGAACTAATTATTTCTTTAGGGTTCTGGGTCTAGCTCCTTTCCATAATACTATGACTTGGGAGCATAGAAAAAATAATTCCCTTAAATGGTTCCAAGTTGTTTTCCTGAGAAAACCTGTGTAAATTACTACTTCACTACCCAAATTCATTGAATCCTTTTATTTATTATATTAAAATAATTTATTTTGGACATTTAGGGTTAACTTATCATACATACCTTGCTTACATATTTATATTGCAATGTGAGCACTTCTGGATGGGTCACTTGATAACAGATGAAAAGGTTTTCCTCTTGCCAGACAATATAGAATCCACTTGGTTCCCCTGTGTAAACAGGTGAGACAGTCCATGTTTCGTTTTGTCTTTGTTTTGTCATTTTTGTCTTAGATGTGTTCTTTCTTGGAAATCCTTTATGATTTTGTAGTTTTATACAGATTCTACTTTCAATATACTTGCTATAGCAAGGCAAAAGTATATCAAAATAAAACTTGACATCAGATATACCTAGATTGTTGAAATTCCTGCTGATGCAGTTCCGGAGGCAACTGGACTGAATAACCTGTGAGAACACTCCAGGGTTGGTTTCTAGAGGCAATAGCTTAGGATACTGAGTTCAGACAAAGGCAAAGGACTATTGCCAGGGGACCTAATATTTTTCAAAAAACACTGTCACTGTCCTCCCGTTGTTTATTGATTTGTTTGAGTGGGCCCAGTAATGTCTTCATTGTGAGACTTGTTGTTACTGTGTTTGGCATATCGAATACATCATGGGGAGCTTGCCAGGCTTTGCCGTGCGGGTGAGATACTTTCAGTAGCTTGCCGGGCTCT